TGGTGATGGGATTGTGCGTTTAAGTAGTGGTTGGTGTGTGTTTTTTTCCAGTAGATGGTGTGTCCTAGGATGTCCAGAAAGGGAAGTTGGTTATTTGCTTCTATTTCCATAGTGAATTGTATTTTGGGGTAGGGTGTTGAGATGTGTGAGGAAGTTGTCCAGTTTTACTTTCCTGTGTGACCAAATCACGAAAGTGTCATCAACATATTTAAACCAGAATTTGTGTTTGTGTTCAGATTTATCTAAGGCATTAGTTTCAAAATGTTCCATGTATAAGTTTGCGATGTCGGGTGAGAGTGGTGATCCCATGGGTTCTCCTTCTATCTGTTTGTATCTTTGTCCATTATGGATGAAGTATGTGTTGGTTAGGCAGTGGTTGGTCAGGTCCAGGATGTGTTTAGGGGGGTTGTGTTTTTCTGGATAGCTGTCAAGGCTTCTTTTATAGGCACTTGGTGAAGAGAGATGTTATTATTATTTATTAAATTTATGGCATTGAAGTTCACAAGTAGGTCACTGGGTTGTAGGTTTTGTTTGTTTATTGTTTCTATGAAGTGGAGTGAGTTTTGTATGTGTGATGGGATGGATTCTGCATAGGATTGGAGTTGTTTGGCGAGGAATTTGGCAAGATTCTGTAGAGGTGAGCCTATGGAGCTGACTATGGGTCTGAGTGGAACACTCAGTAAATTTTATTTAAAAAGGACTCTTGCTTTTGTTTATGTGTGAATGTATGCAGAAATTGCTTTAATTAGATTTCCCCCCACAAGTTAAACATGCATAGCTTTCAGGCTTAGAGGCTTAGTTTGGATATATACATGTATGTATTTAGGTATGTATGTGTATATAAATAAATCCATTCCATATACGTGCATACACACATACACACAAATATACATACATGTACACACACATAGACACACAACTTATGTCTGAGCCAAGAACAGCTATTTCGTCTTCAAAACTTGACATAAAATGCCCAGATTTCTAGTGTGTTGTTCTGAATTTTTGAATTTTTATAAAATTCTCCATTTAAACCTAGGATACAATTTGATAAGGAAAATATTTCATGAAAAAAAATATGAGATTCCAGCATGCACTTCCATATATATTTTGATTACTTCCAAAGCCAATATATGGTTGTTATTGGTACTGTTTTCCAGAATGTGGGATATGCTTGAATCTATAAGTCTTCCACTTTGAAGTGGTAAAGCAAGATCTGGATTGTATCTTTAGTTTCAGGATTTCTTTAACTCTTTTTAAAGAAAGTATCAAACCCCCCGTTGCTAAGTTGAAATTGTATTTGAGACTACAAATGAATAGTATGATGTATTGATAAACTACCCTTAGAGCAATGTTAATCATTATTTTTATAGTAATCCTAATTAATAATAATGCTTTTGTTCCTGTTTTACTTACTCTTTGGATTTCAGGTCGAAGTGATGAAAAGCAATGTGAAAACCCGTGTTAATACTTACCTTCAGGAACTGGAAAAATTTAAAGCTCGGTGGGACCAGTTGAAACCTAGTGATGATGTCATTGAAACAGGACATCATGATGTGCTACAGAGAAGTGCTGAGATAATAAAGGAAAAGAAAATTGAATTTGATGAACTTGAGGATGCAAAGCAAAAACTGGTGTATGCTTATTTTTGTATAAGTATGAACAAATATCAGCATATTAGGAATAGTTTTGCAAATACAATTTTTGAAAGCAATCAGAGCTCCAGAGTTTGGAGGCAGCTGGAATGATTTTTATTTATTTTGTTACCATGTAAGCTGTATACAAAAAAAAAATCAACTGTGGAAAATACATATTTTCACTTATTTGATCTCTAGTTAGAAGAATCAGCATCAGGAATATTATTTTAAAATTGGGTAATACATAAGATATTACATTATTTTATTAATATTATTTTAGTTTCTAGCTTTTTCTATTATTCCTCAGATATTCCATGGTTATTCTTTAATGTCTATTAAAGTATCTATTGATGTATCTATTGAAAGGAAATAGAAGAAAGAAACATTTTCTTATATACAGTGGAAGATATATATTCCCACCGTTCCCATAATTCCAGGATGTTGCTGATTGATCTATATCACTATATCTTTTATTTTATTGCATTCAATTTATATACCTATATATTTAGACATTTATTTGGCATACAATGTAACCCTTTTTTTGTATCCTGCCTTTATTATTTTTCTAAATAACTCATCACTGTGTTCTTTTCCTTCAGTAATGACTGTTGTCACTTTGAATTAGAAGAGCCTGATTTCTCTTTAGCCAATGAAGTACGCAGAGACATTGAATGCTGTGCTGAAGTTTGGTCACTGTATGAACAATTTTATGAAGGTTTTCAAGAAAAAGCCAATGAAGATTGGATTACATTTAGGTACATTTAAAATTACAGTTAGTCTTTGCTTTCTTATTTGACCACTTGTTCAGTTGCAGTTTGAAGTTGCAGCACTGCTGAACAAGTGATAACTGACAATTAGACTTCAAAGTTCCAGCCATTGTGCTACCACCAGTCATGCAATTGTGATTTGGGTGCTTGACAATAAGTTCACACTTACAACTTTGGAGCATCCTACAGTCACTTGATTGTCACTTGTGACCTTCCCTGCTGCTTTTCCACAAGCAAAGTCAAAGGGGAAGCTGGCATGGAAAGTCACTTGTCATTCTGGTAAGTCCCCTCTGGCGGTTTCCCCATGCTCTTGTGGTGTTACGCCATCCTTTACCATGGCCTCCCTACACTAGTGCTGTATCACCCCCTTCACACAGCATGTTGTAGCCTGTTGGCCGCTGGCCCCTCCAGCAGCCAAATCAGAGGAGGAGGCGGCGTGGGAGTCAGGGCCAACATCAAGGCAAGAGCTCTGAGGGGGAAGAAGGATTGGAGCTGGCAAAGAGAGATAGAGGCAGAGCCTGGGCTATTGGTCAGCCCTCAGATGGAGAGTCAACAGCCCCCAGGTCTGGAGTGGCTGATGAGGAAGAGGAAGAACAGCTGGGTCCAGTGCCTGACACGTGGATGCCCAGAAGCAGAGGAGAGGAGAGCAGTGAAAATCCATGGACCGATTCTTGGGAAGGAAGAGCCATCGCTGCTAACGAAGCACCGCCATAGCTCTGGGGATAAAAGGCAGGGGGCGGAGATGAATAGATGTGCAGACAACTATTCTTCTGGCTGGACAGTCTTGTTAGCCTAAGTTGAGAGAGAAACCTTTTGTCGTGGCTGCTGGCACTCCTAATAAGGGAATCTTTGAGTTCACTTCAGAGGGTCGTGTTTGGGGAACTGGGTCAGAACACAGCATTTCCCAATTTGCATACATCCTGCTCTGAGCCTCCCCCACTTCCCCGCAACCCCCTCATCACTCCATGCACTTTACTATGGACTCCAACCGCTTCCCATTTAATAATCCTTGCATCTTGGGGTTATGATGGCATCTGGGACTGCCGGGATTGTTGTCACTAAGCAATGCAGTCATATGGTGTTACATTTTGCAACTACATTATCTTAGCTTTAGTAATCCCAGTCCCAATTGCCATGGTACCTGAGAACTACCTGTATATAGTTCTTAATTATAATAACGGTTAAAGATCTTTTAATATATATTGCATACAGGAGTAAGACCTACTTATTTGAAGAATTCTTGTTGAACTGGCATGAAAAACTGAGAAAGATTGAAGAACACACAATAATGACTGTGAAGTTGCAAAAAGAGGTGGATCAGTACAAGGTAAAGTGATTGTGGGAGAGAAGACAAATAGGAAATATTGGAATGTTTAGAATATTTTGTTTATGCAGGATGGATTGCAAGTTCCTTTTTTCAGCAGTGTGTAACTTTGACTGGTTGCTGAAGAAATAGACATTGTGAAGACTTGCCTGTATCGTTAAGATCCAGTGGTAATTAAGTACGAGATCTTAACTTGGTATCTTGCTGCTTATGAAATAAATTTAAAACATTAAATTTTAAAATAATTTTTAGATTTACTTCATAAACAGAAAGATGCCAAGTTACAATGATGTGAAATAATATGAAATAATATTATTTTTTTAGATTTAAAGTCAGTGTGTAAGTATACGAATGCAGCTGATCCAAGTGTTTGTTACCCATGATTTTTTCATAATCGTTTGTTTAAGCATAAAATACATTCCTTGTTACAAAAGGAAAAACAACTGCTAATATATGCTCCTTTTTTACAGCTGACCCTTCCTGTATTGAAATATGTTAAGGGAGAACATTTGTCATCAGATCATTGGTTGGACCTCTTTCGTATTCTTGGTCTTCCTAGGGGTACCAGTCTAGGAACTCTGCTGTTTGGAGACCTCCTAAAAGTGGCAGATGTCATTGTGGAAAAAGCAGCAGAACTGAAGGTGTGAATTATCTTTTAATATGAAGAAAATGATTTGAAGAAATTTTGGGGACATATTTTTGGCTTCCACTTAAAGCAAAGAATGCCCGAAGTTATTATCTAAGTTTAATAAAAATAGTTACTAAACCAGTTCTTTCTGTAGTATTGATATATTGTTCATATGTAGTACAGAAATTCCATTACACTCTAGTAATGTTCTTATACTGTACCTTCCTTGAAGACAGTAACAGTCATCTGATAAAATAATTTGGCTAGTTAATATAGAAAGATTAATTATTCAAGATAATTTTGTTAGATATTTTATTTTGTTACTGATTTTATTTAGACTTTGGAAATATATCACAAATCTATATACCATAGCAATATGTAAGTGAGCCATGGTGGTGCAGTGGTTAGACTGCAATACTGCAGGCTACTTCTGCTGCCTGCAATTAGGCACTTCAAATCTCACCAGGCTCAAGGTTGACTCAGGCTTCCATTCTTCCAAGGTGGGTAAAATGACCCAGATTGTTGGGGGCAATATGCTAACTCTGTAAACCGCTGAGAGAGGGTTGTAAAGCACTGTAAAGCAGTATACAAATCTACACTATTGCTATTGCTAATATCATAATGTTTAGTTAAAAAATAAATATAGTGCTTTATAAATCAGTTTCCGACATTTCTTTGTTCTTTGGATTTACCTATAATAGTAGTTATATAATTAGCTTAAATTAATGTTAATTTAGATAGATGTTTCACATTTATGGAATTGTTTTGATTTGCTTTTCCTTTCCTCTCTTTCCCCTTTCTTTTCTTTGTAGGTTTTTTTTATAAAATTAATGCTAATTTATATTTGCTAACAGGATTTGAACAGCAGGGCTCATGGTGAGGTTACAATCAGAGAAGCCTTGCGGGAGCTTGAGCTTTGGGGCGTTGGAGCTGTCTTTACGTTAACAGATTATGAAGATAGCCAAAACCGGATGATCAAATTGATTAAAGATTGGAAAGACATAGTCAATCAAGTTGGAGACAATCGCTGCCTACTTCAGTCATTGAAAGACTCTCCATATTACAAAGGTTTCCAAGATAAAGTTTCTGTTTGGGAAAAGAAACTTGCTGACCTGGATGAATATCTACAGAATCTAAATCAAATTCAGAGGAAATGGGTATATCTGGAGCCCATTTTTGGCCGTGGAGCTTTGCCTAAAGAGCAAGCACGCTTCAACAGAGTAGATGAAGACTTTAGGTCGGTTGACTTTATATTCTATCTTTTAATCCAACTGCCTCTTAACAGTCCTCAGAGGAAAGTATAAGCATTGTATGTAAAATTTAAATCAATTTTTTGTATTTTCATACTTCAGGTCATAAGTAATAGTTTCAACTGCTTATTTTTGGGTTATTAAAACTAAAGAACTCATAGCAGCATATATTCACACCATGTTGTTTCCTTTTAAAGATCAATAATGGCAGATATCAAACAAGACAATCGCGTAATTTCTTTGAATACTCGAGCAGGAATAAGGACTGCCTTAATTACTATCCTTGACCAGCTTCAGAGATGTCAAAAATCTTTAAATGAATTCCTGGAGGTAAACATTTCTGATCACTCCATTTAATTGTGAATTCAAATAATGAACACTAAAATTTTGTGCATCTCATTGAGAATATTAATAAACATTTGTGTTCATACATATGCAAACCCTCATGGGAGTGCAAACATAGCATTTTTCTGTGACATCTTAAAGTACCTGTGTCATTATACTCATTCTGAAGTTGAAATGCTACACAAACCTAATATCTTTCAAGTTATGCTTTTTGATTCATATATTGCTGTCTTACTTTTTGTCTTCATTTTTCATTTCCAAAGTACTTTGACCACTAAATATTTAATATTTTTTTAAGAACAAGCAAGTGATAGAGAGAGTTTTTTTGGGGGGGGGGGGGGGGGGGGGGGGTGTAAAAGTACAGATGCTAGTTCACACATATTCCTGATTTTATTTTTTGGAAAAGATGTTAGTTTAACTGGCTCAGAAATGATTACTGTGCTGTCTTGGAGTGGCCATCTGAATTTATTTATTTTTAAATAGGAAAAGCGTTCTGCATTCCCCAGATTTTATTTCATTGGAGATGATGATCTTCTGGAAATCTTGGGTCAGTCTACTAATCCATTAGTTATCCAATCTCATCTGAAGAAGTTGTTTGCTGGTAAGGATTTTCTCACAGTAGAACATGTGGCAGGCCTGAAGGCCTTAATTTGACGTCAAATAAACTTCCATTTTTAATACCATATTATAATCCATATTCATATTTGTGTAAAAAGAGATATAACTATATTAGAGATGTACACAGTACAAAAATAGGCATTGTCTTGAACCTAAAACAAACCATAAAATTACAAAATGTCTGATAAACTGTTGCAGGTTAGTATCTAAATAATAGAACAAAATTTGAATATTTAATAGAATATCAAAATTTTCATTTACAGGATAGGCAGGGCAATTACATCAGTCTCTCAATAATTATGCTTTTATTTCGTATGTGCTTATAGGTAAGCACACTACAGCAACAATACAAATCACAATGCAATACAATCAAGTAAATTATATAATAATCAAATGCTTGATTGTCATCATTCTTCAAACATGATAAATTCGTGTACTTTTAAACTTCAGGAGATAGGACTCTGGGCATTATTCCAAGGAAAATTTAATTGCAAAGAATAAGTGCTAATAAATAAATGTGTCCACATGCCTGTTCCTTATTGTGGAATCAGCAGTATGGATCAGACTCCCATTATAACATCCCCCTTCCCATCCCTGATCTTCTCAGTATTTTCTCTATTTTTTTCCCAATTGCTGTAACTGATGTCTTTGGCTTATTTCCAGTCTCATCCTCACTTCAAACCTTTTCTGCCTAGAATAATTTAATTATCCAGATCAATTTTATTCTATGTATGAACTGGTTCTCAGTCATGGACCATTCAAAACCAGTTTTTTCTGAACACAGAAGTTTTTACGCATTCCTATATTAATATAGGAATATTAAATTAATTAATGCTAATCAATGTTACACTTTTCCATTAATTAACAGGAATTCACAGTGTAAGCTTTGATGAAGATTTTAAAAATATTATTGCAATGAAATCTGTAGAAGGTGAAACCGTACCTTTCAAAAATAAAATTCTGCTATCCAATGACGTTGAGGTAAGAAATTAAGCTCCTCTTCTACCCCCACCCCAATTTCCCATTTGTCAAAATTAAGTATGTTAACATTGCTTATTGGGTTTTCTTGATATATTATTTGCTAGGTATGGCTGAACAAATTGTCTTTAGAGATGAAGGAGACATTAAAGAAACTATTGATTGACTGTGTTGCCACTGGGAAAAGATTGCAGGGTTCAATTGATCCATCACTCTTTCCTTCACAGGTAAGTTTGTTTTTTTTTCTATGCAAAAAAGGAAGGATTTTGAGTATATGGTAGCATTTGCTTATTAATTTGCAGCTCAACTATTCAGTAGAATTGAATTTGAATCTAAAATAAATAATAGTTTGAATATATCTATCCAATAATTGATCTGAAAAGAACTAAATTTGGTTTGCAATTTGGATTACATGCAATATCAGACAAAAGTGCTTCCTTTGCACATATCTCCATCCCTCAAGCCCTCTGTATCCCTGCAATCTGCACTGAATCTTTGGGATATATGCTGAAGATTGTGGAAAAGAGTAGAATCTCTTCTACTGGCTGATAAACAACATTGCATGCAACTCTTTAATGATTAATAATATAATTAATGATATGATAAACTGTGTGACAATCTGTTACCTATTAGTATGGGCAATTTTTTTTGGATATACCATAGAATTAGACAAATTGCAAAAACTTTGGGACAGAAACTATACATTGACAATGGCAACTACATATAAGGAAAATCTGTATAAAATGTTTTATAGGTGGCACTTAACTCTGGCAAGGTTAGCAAAAATGTTTAAAAACATGTCTGTCAAATATTGGAAATATAATCAAATACTGGGCACGTATTTGGACGAAAGTGCATACGTGGTTAGAAGAAATGCTAAGGTAGCATATAGATATAAGCCCGAGCTATTTTTGTAAGGCATAATATCAGAAAAAAATGATAAAGAAAAGGTATATTTAATTTTACATATATTGACAGCAGCAAGAATTGTTTTTGCACAATACTAAAAAAACAAACACATACAGAAGAAGATATAATCAAAAAATATTAGATGTGCACAAATGGATAGACTAACACTGAAGATAACAGAAAAAGAAGACACAGAATATTTTAGAATTTGGAACTTGTTTTATCAATGGTTGGATAACAGACGTAGAAACTAGGAACTGAAAAAGTATTATTATGTAAGCAAATTGACCCAGACAGTACGCTGTTCACTAAGCACTTATTGTATGTAAAGAGAAAATATATAAATGAACTATTTAAAAAGTTTCAGTAGGAGAGTATTGTGGATTTGTGGATAAATGGGGTGGTATGATTTCTTTAAATAGCCAACATGGATGCTATTAAATGTTATAATCTATTCTTCTTTATGCGTTCCGTTTTTCCAATAGATTTTATGTTTGGCTGAACAAATTCAATTCACAGAAGATGTTGAGTGTGCAGTCAAAGAATGTAATTTGCAACAGATAGAATTAGAATTAATGGCTAAGTTGGAACATTACACCAGTATAGATACTAATATAGAAGACTCGGGCAATGCAGGTATGGAAGAAGATAGCAGGTATAATATTCTAAAATGATTTTGTATTCTTTATATAGAATCATCCTCACAATATAGTCACTGTGTCCATTTGTGTTGTTTTTTGCATTTGTCCGTTTTGATTTCTTTGGTTTTTTTAAACTTTCTTTTGTATGCCACCAAACACTGCATTATCTGAATTGATATTGCAATTTGTTAATTTTTTCTCCATTTGACTAATGAGGAATTCACATATTATGTTAATCCACCATTTTGTTCACATCATGGTTTATTTACTGAGCTATAGTAGCCAGTTCCAAACATGACAAAACTGTAAAGCATAATTTATAAACTAAAGGGCAAAACCTTTCATGTTACATGACTAGAAAAATGGTAAAATAGTATTATCCTGGGTTTGGTTTGAATCTCCAATTCAGTTGAATTAAGTATTTCTCGTATCTTTATTTTTATTTATTCAGTTTCTTTTAATTAATTAATTTATTAATGATTCCTTCATTAATTCATTCAGTTTTTATCCTGTCCTTCTGTGCAAATTATAAGTACAAACTACGCTGCATAATAACTTTTAATTTTAAATTCTCAGAAAACTACAGGTACTAGTTGTCTTTTATATCATTAGTTATTATTAAATAATTATCAACATTTGTTGGTGTTACCATTTCCCCCTTATTACTTTTCATTTCTAACTGTATGACCAAATTATAATGGATGAAACCATATAAATTCACCTTATTTTAAATTGTAATATTTTTCCCCCCAGAATCTGGAATCCTTGAGTTAAAGCTTAAAGCCCTGATTTTGGATGTTATTCATAACATTGATACTGTACAACAGCTTATTGCAGCTCAGGTCAATAGTACTGATGATTGGGCCTGGAAGAAGCAACTCAGATTTTATCTTAAGGATAAAAAATGTTATATTCAGATGGTGGATGCTGAACTTCAGTACACTTATGAATATCAGGTATTTTAAGTTTAGTGTAAATTATGTCTTATTCTTTCATTCCCATCCTCATATTACTTTCAACTAAATGTACAAAAGCAAGAAAGTTGTTTTGATTAGCATTAGTTTAAGATTGTAGTCTTATAATCAATTGTCTGAAGTAGGTGCATTAAGTTTTGCACAATTTATTTATAAGTAGACATGTAGCATTGTAGGTACTTTTTGACTTACAACAGTTCATTTGGTGACAATTCAAAGTTACAACGGTAAAGTTACAAAGTGACTTATGATGGTTTTCTACACTTACAACCATTGCAGCATCCCCATGGTCACATGTTCAAAATTCAGTTGCTTGGCAACTGGGTCATATTTATGACGTTTGCAGAATCCCATCACCTTCTCCACGATTGGCGGAGACAGCAGTCAGATAGGGTTAACTCCATCCCGAAACCAATAGGGCTTAGTCTACAGTTTATAAAACCATCCTCTGTGCAGCTGTTCCTCAGCTTTAGATTCAGCCAGTTTTGGACTGGACGTGTTGTTGAATTCTCTCTGACTTATCTGTTTTTTACCACTAATTGGACATTGCCAAAATTAACCTTTCACCCCCTGCCATCCTTAAAGACTTGCAGGCAGAGGAGAGTGCTCAAAATCGACTAGGGGCTTTGCCCCATGCCGTGGAGCCAGCCGCACAGCTTTAAAAGCCTTTTCAAAACGTTGGAGGCTTTTTTCCTTCTCTGCGAGTGTCGGAGTCTCCTGTGAAACAGCCGAGCAGCTCCGACGTTCTCAACATGCAATATGACAGAAAAAGGAAAATCCTTCCTGGATTTCAATTATTGAAACTTTTCTTGGCTGTGATAAACATATTTTTTAAAAATATGACACTTGTTAAAATACAGTTCCCATCAACTTTCATTACAAATAAATAAATATAATTGATCAAGGTTCTAAGAATATTTTTTTATTGCTACAATGGATATTTTTAAACATTTTCTTCAATAATAGAGGCCTGGGTTAGAGATGAACTTTGGTTTACTGGAAGAAAACTGCAACCATCTGATTTTTAAAACACTATTCATAATTCTAATTGGAACTTCCTCATTCTCATGAAGTATCCATTAATAGGTTTCCTTCCACTGCAAATAGTAGACTTAAGGAAAAAAGGAGCAGAATTTACTTTTTGTGATAGTGTTAATTTGGACAACTAGATTGAGTTAATAAATTTAATTGCATTTTTTTCTTTTCTTAAAATTTTAGGGAAATTCACCAAAGCTTGTTTATACACCATTAACTGACAAGTGTTACCTTACACTTACTCAAGCTATGAAGATGGGCCTTGGAGGAAATCCCTATGGCCCAGCTGGAACTGGCAAGACAGAATCTGTAAAGGCTCTAGGGGGATTACTTGGAAGACAAGTTTTGGTGTTTAATTGTGATGAGGTGAAGTAAAATATATCTACATGTTGTATAAAGATGGCTCATAGGTCTTGTTGACTGACAGATTGATTGATTATATGTCATTAAGTTGTCTATCGAGATTCTCAATAATTCAGGTGCTGTCTAAAAGGTACTTTTTAAAAGGAAATCGGATTCTCTTTTTCCCCTTGAAAACATTTTGCTTCTCATCCAATAAGCTTTTTTTTGCTTCAGAGCTTCAGTTGCCTTTTTAAAAAAGCATCTTTGGGTGCCATCAAGTTGTTGACTCCTAGCAACTTTACACCATTATATTTTTTTTCCTGGACAGCTAAGTTATATTATATATGTCTGAAATAGGATAAGTTGAATCTCATTGTGCTCAAGTGAGAACTGTGAGTTGATTTTTGTTCAACTTTATTTATCCCCTTGGCTGTTCACATTATTCTGAGAAGTCTTCTCCAAAACCAAATGGCAAAAGCATCAATACTGTTCCTATCCTGCATCTTCAAAGTCTGCTTATGACTTTGTTAGTTACCCAGAATTTTTTGGATAACATGGATGACCAATTACATTTGCAAAATTAATGAATGATTGAGTGAATGAATGAATCTAATTTAAATTATAAATTGGGGTGGCTAAGGCTGAAATTGGGTATAATCAAGTACATTGAGATGACAGTGATGATGATTGTTCTCTTCAAATCCCTTTAAAGTTATAAGGCAGAAATTATATATATAATTTCTAAGCCCAGTAAAGGTATAGAATATATTTATCAAATTTATATTTATGCAGATTTCAGTACTTTTTCCACCACAATGTTTGTAACAGATGAAATCAGGAGTGTAGTATTTCTTTTTTAAAATGTCTTTTCTTGTTTCCTTTGAAAATCTTTTTTAAAAAAAGATTTGAGATTTTATTGTTAACAGAAAAAGAAACCGCAAACCCAAACGTTTGCTCCCTGAAATGATCACATCAGCCATGTTTCACCTCCCCCAAAGCATTGATACTTTTGTTACAAAGTTTAAAACTTCATTACACTTTTTTTTAGTTTGGAAAAGGAATATTATATATCATGTAGCTGAAGTAGCATTCCTTGCTTATTTTAAGGGCATTGACGTGAAATCAATGGGGCGTATATTTGTTGGTTTGGTAAAATGTGGAGCCTGGGGCTGTTTTGATGAGTTTAATCGTCTGGAAGAAGCAGTACTTTCTGCTGTATCTATGCAGATTCAGACAATTCAACATGCTTTGAAGAAACATCAACCTGTTTGTGAGTTACTTGGAAAAGAGGTACCAATCTTAAACTCTTGTACAATATTTACTTACTTACTTACTTAACTTACTTTTGCTGCAACCTCAGCAAATAGGAAACTTCAGAGTGAATGAATCAGAAATTCACCCCAAATAATTTATCTCAGCAAAAACCTGAGAGGGCAAAGTGTTGAACAGGTCCAAGAAGCAATCAAGCTATAGTCAGACAGAGGAAACTGAACATAAGTATGGGATGTAATATATGACTTTCAGAAACAGGTTGAATACCTTCTAAATTGGGGACATCCATAATAACTAATAAACATCTGTCTCAGTTTCATGTGTGAAGGAATTCATTTTATTTAAATCCTGTGCCTTAAAATAAAAAAAAAGTTGAACATTTTCAGATAAAATCACAATTCTATTTTCTATTCTATTTTCAGATAAAATCACAATTCCAAAAATTTTATTTGATTGGAGTTTTAAAAATAAATTTTATGGAAATGCAAATTTGCAAGAATTGCATAGAATAATTTAAGGGTTTTAAGTCAGTTGCATTAGTCTCTTTAGGTCAAAACAGTTGTCCCTTAGAATTTGATTTGAGTTAGGAACTGATACATTACAAGACAAAGTCAAGAAATGACTAGATTGAAGTGCTCTTGTCATACTGGCAAAAGGTCAGTGAGAATGTATGGAACTATGTCAGCCATGTCTTTCAGATGCTTTTAATTTTATATAAAATATCCAGTATGCTTTGGTGTTTACATAGATTGTCAAGTTCCTATTTAATGGTTTATATAGGTTATTGAGTTTTTATTGAAGATATTTGCATATTTAAATATCAGGTAGAAATGGATCATAATTCTGGAATTTTTATCACCATGAATCCTGCTGGGAAAGGCTATGGAGGCAGACAGAAATTGCCTGACAATCTTAAACAGCTTTTTAGACCAGTTGCTATGACTCGTCCTGATAATGAGCTAATTGCAGAAGTGATATTATATTCAGAAGGCTTTAAAGATGCTAAACCTCTGGGAAGAAAACTGGTGGATATTTTCAATTTAGCACGGTAAGCGTTTGGGGATATATACATATATATATATTCATTTCCCTATCCCCAGGCATTTCTCCTCCTCTTTTTGTTCCTCCATCTTTGTCTTTGGGAAATAAGCATTTTGACTCTTTATTCTGTTTAGATGCTCTTCAGTATTACAGTAAAAGGACTTGGTTTTTCTTGAACATCATAAAATTTAGGTCCTATAATACACTAACATTTTTGGTATATTGTTTTGATATTATACAGCTAACAACATGACATTTGAACTAGATTCAACCAGTTCAGATGTCAGTCAAGAAAGTAGTTTGAGGATCTTTAGCTAGACAGTTTTAAGCCATTGTATCTGAGCGACTGAAAATTATTGATATAAAGAATCAGAAGATTTTATTATGAAAACATAAGCCATTATCATGATAACATAATATGCAAGATATATGTGTATTATGTAATTTATGGAAAATAATATTATCTAATGCTGTTTTACCAATAATGGAGAATATTTGTGGCTCAGGGTTGAAATGTGGGGTCTTTGGTGCTCTCTGAGCTTGCTTGTTTTCTTGCAGATGTTTCATTACCCTAACTAGGTAACATCATCAGTGCTAGTGCTGTTATATAATAGATTAAAATGTGATTGAAAATTTGTAATCAATGGGAACAGTAAAATATGTATAATATATACTTTTAATATCTGTAAAAGGAGAAATACAGTGCTATTTTTCTCTGGCTGAAAGGCATTTGGAAATTCTATTTCAAATTAGATAGGCTTTATTAATTTGAAAATAGATTATAGATTCTAATCCTTATTTTCTTGTACTCTAAAACTTGGTTGAACAAAAAAAGAATGAATGATTTTAAAGTTGATGCCAAATGCTGTTGTTAAATCAGGTTGTTGATAAAAATGGTGAAAAAAATGAGGTTAATATCATCCCCACAAATGAAGAAAAACAACAATTATATTTCAAGTAAAATAAGTCTTAAGAAAGGGAATATGGTCTGGACAGGCTTCCCAATCTGAAATTTAACAAGTTATATTTAGTCAATCCTGAAAAGCCCTTCCTTGAATTCTTCTTCCATTAACTTTGATAGCATCAAGCTTTCAGCAAATAATCTATTCCTCTGAAATTTTTCATGACAAAGTAAAGATTTCAAATATGTCTCCTTATCCAAAGATCACAACATTGCTTTTTCATAACTTTAGTCACATTGAGGTCATAATACCAATTTATGATTTATTTTATATAACATTTTGTTAAACTAAGTGCATTCCTCAACAGTTCAACAAAATGTCATTTTCACATAGTCCCTCATAATGCTAAATGCTAAAATGGCTAAGTGTTCAGCTGCTGTGTGCAATACACAAAAATAGGAAGTTCCATTATACCACCCATTTTCTTACCATTGTAATAATATAAATGGCTTATAGAATGTGAACCCTTATCTCAAAGACCTTGGTCTTTTTCTGCAGGGCTATGATAAAAAGGTGGCAGAGATGGATGAATGCTATTTTCTCATTCACCTTGTCTGTGAAAAGTTGTTAGCCTTCTTAACCAGTTTTCCCTCTCTTTCATGCATCAAAATATTCTTTTCCACAAGGACACACATTAATAGTAACAAGAAAAACATTAAAATTCATTTTTTTTCCACCAGAGAGCTCTTGACTCCTCAGCAGCACTATGATTGGGGCCTGCGAGCATTAAAGACTGTTCTGAGGGGATGTGGAAATCTTCTTCGACAGCTGAAAAAGAACGGAATTAAAAAGAAAGGTAAAGAACATTATTCTATGATTTCCCCCCCCTAAGATTCGCAATCTGACCATGTTATTTTTATTTGCATAATAATATACTTATTAAAAGTTCGATGAATTGACAACAGTTTGATCCTGACCGGCTCAACTTTGACTCAGCCTTCCATCCTCTGAGGTTGGTAAAAAGAGGAGCCAGATTGTTGGGAACAATATGCCGACTCTGTAAAACCACTTAGAGTGGGCTGTAAAAGTACCATGAAGTGGTATATAAGTCTAAGTGCTATTGCTAAAACTTGCAGCATTAAAAGTCTGTTACTTGAAAGTTATGCATTTCTGTGGGGTTTTTAAATTAGTTTGCTTATACTGCAGCTTTAAGCAAAAATAAATTGTATTATGTCTCTTTTGTTTCCACACAGTTAATGAAAGCCACATTGTGGTTCAAGCTTTGCGTCTTAATACCATGTCAAAGCTTACCTTTGCAGATTGTGCACGATTTGATGCACTGGTTAAAGATGTCTTTCCTGGAATTGACTTCAATGATGTAGATTATGCTGAGTTAAATAGTGCTTTGCAAAAAACCTTTGAGGAGGCCAATCTGGAAATCATATCTACCCAGGTAAACATTGAGTACTACAATAGACAACAGTAATTACATTAACCTCCATCTTTATATATGATCTGTGACTTCAACCTGTCTTTTAGGAAGTCAGTATCCATCCTCCCATCCAGTCAGTTTATTTGGCCACAAACCTTTGCTTAATGTACCTTACTATATCCTCTTAATTATTATGACACTTATGACTGCACATTTGAAGGCAAAGTCATACTTTTGAATGGTTATATATAGAATAAAAAACACATTTGAAAGTGATAGTTAGAATACCTTAAGCAGTAATTTCATATATTTTCTCAATGATCGCCATTACTTTTTGTAGAAATCTGCTCCTCCCATATATCTTGTCCCCAACCCTGCCTAACTTTCCCCATGCCTTTGGGTCTAGAGTAAAATCCCAATAAAATTTCCATTTTATGCTGATAATTGGCCTGCATGTCTGCCGGCCTGCATACCTGCCTGCCTGCCTGTCTGCCTGACTTCCTTCCATCCTTCCTTCCTTCCTTTCTTCCCACCCTCCCTCCCGCCCTCTCTCCCTTTCAGATTAGCATAGGAATTTATATGCTACCTAGAATCACTCCGTTGAGTTGGGCAGACATAGAAATCTATTTATTTATTAGATAAATCTTCTTTCATAATAAATGAAATTCAGAAAATAGTTTGGGACTGTGGCTAATGATGGAGGAATATAAACATCTATTATCTTTTTATTTTCGGTGAAGATAAAGAAGGCTTTGGAATTGTACGAGCAACTCCGTCAAAGAATGGGTGTGGTTATTGTAGGCCCAAGTGGTGCAGGCAAATCAACCCTTTGGCGGACATTAAGAGCAGCTCTTGGAAAGGTTGGCAAAGTAGTGAAGCAATATACCATGAACCCTAAAGCTATGCCCCGCCATCAGTTACTCGGTCATATTGATATGGACACAAGGGAGTGGTCAGATGGTGTGCTTACAAATAGTGCTCGGCAAGTAGTACGAGAACCTCCAGGTATTTTTCTTAAATTTGCAGATAGTAAATTTTATTTAAAAAGGACTCTTGCTTTTGTTTATGTGTGAACGTATGCAGAAATAGCTTTAATTAGATTTTTCTCCACAAGTTAAACATGCATAGCTTTCAGGCTTAGAGGCTTAGTTTGGATATAGATAGATAGATAGATAAGATTAGATTTAAGATTTAAGATTTAAGATTTAAGATTTAAGATTTAAGATTTAAGATTTAAGATTTAAGATTTAAGATTTAA